CTCGATCGAACCTTTAATTTGAAGAATCGAGCTCACCCGCTCTGGATACCATGAAGAAATCAAAAGGAAAAATTTTGGGGCAAATTTTCTGTATATCATGCAAAATGAAGAAGACAGTGTTTTCACGTCACTTTGGTGACCACATGCAAAACGCCACAGAACGACGTCGTAGAACTAAAAACTGATAACGAAATTAAAAAAAAAAAAAAAAAGAAGCAAAAGCGTGACACGCTTAATCCATTAAAAATAGAAAAAACAAGCAGGAAAAAAATGAGAAGCCTCGATGTATGAATATCCAACAAAAACAGGAAGTATAAACACTAGAAAGAACAAGAAGGGCTAACAAATGAGCAAAATGAAAACGATGTAATGCATTCCATTAGATGGTCTTACTAGATGGTCTTACGTAAATCCCCCTTTCACAAACACTCACACATTAACTATGATCTTATTGAATGAAAAAGGTATCTAAATTTGTACAATATGCAGATATAAAGTACACTCTTCTGTTAATTTTGTCCAAAATGTGAAGCACCCTTTTCTGGGGGAAGCATTGCAAGCAAGTACCATATAGTGACAAATGAAATTTTGCTTTTCTGCTCTGTAGACACCAATAATAACCGTTTAAAACTTTATTCAACTGGCATCTTGACTAAATCTGTAAGCGATTTTTTCTGAACCGACTCGTTTTCTGCATTGAGCACCTCCATGTGATAGGTTTTACTGATTTTGAACGAATCAGTAAGTTGCTCATGCTTCTAAATACAAGTATTCAATTTCTACAGTCACTTGCAGTTACATTAATAAGCAGCTGAGATATTCTTCTGGTTTGTACTCAAAACTAAAATTCTACAATATATAACTTCAATGTTAATAATTTTTTTTTCTTTTTTTCCCTTTAGGATATCTCGATCGATCCACGAGGAGTTGCAGCAATGGCAAACCCACAGGCTCTTCCCCAACACATGCTAACCTATTCTATACACTGCATAGCCTCAGGTGGCCAATCCCCGAATTTCAAGTTCTTTTTCTTTGCACAAAGAGCAGAGGACTTGTCAGCTTATCTGGTCGAGTGTGTAATCAACTCGTCTTCATGTAAAGCGCAGCTGAAGGTCAAAGCCGATGACCAGAGCACAACACAGGCTTTCTCGGACTTGTTTCAATCGGCACTCTCTAAACTCACCATGCCTTGAAGTAAACAATTGAGAGCCTTCTGTAAAATCCAAGTGATTTTTCTTAGTGTGTGTGTGTGTGTACATTAGGAGTGGAGTATGCCAGTATGGACAATTGCTCTTTATGTTGTGTGTTTATTTCATTTTTTGGTGACTTTTGGAAATTGAGAAAGACACTCTCTCACAAGAGGAATGGTTACATAACTCAATCTCATCTGTTTCTCTCCCAATTTTTCCCACATGAAACCAACTCTAATCGAAAAACTCTCAAACACAAAATGCAGTAATTGTTAACTTTTTTTTTCCAACTACTATATTGATTCTTAAATTCAAAATTATATTTTTGGAATATTCTTTTTTATATCATTTTTTATAATTTTTTTAGTATTATTAAATAATTAACAACTTTATAAATTAGATTCGTTATTAATTTTTATTTAATTGAAAAAGTATAATAACCATTTCAAATTTTTAAACATGACAAAATGGATAGAAAGATGGGAAAATTTGAGAGAAATAAAGGATATTATTGAGATTATAAGATAAAAATATAAGAACATTTTTTTTTAAGATTTAATGTTAATTTATTTATAACAAAGATGAGAAGAAAATAATTATA